CTGGGGCCCCCCTGGGGACACTGACCCCAACACTGACCCCAACACTGACCCCCCCAGTGGCCCCGGTGCCCCCTCCGGTGCCCCCACCTCGATCTTGTTGAGCAGGTCCTCGTAGCTGACGTCGGGGTTGTTCTGCAGGAACTCCACCACGATCTTGCTCATGTAGATCTTCTCCTGCATGAGGGCGAAGGTGGGCGCGTACTCCTCGCTCGGCTCCATCAGGATGTAATCCGCGAAGGCTGCACGGGAAAACGGGCAATTCCGGGGGGAAAAATGGGGAATTCGGTCAAAAAATCCATGGGGGTTGGAGGGGGAGCTGCTGCAGCTCGAGGTGGGTCTGGGCCACAAAGCCAAGGGTGGAGAGAAGGTCCCTTGTGGGAGACCCCGATGGGATGGGGTGGGAATGTGAGAGAGGGAGAAATAGGTGGGAAAGGGAGAAAAGGGGGAGGAAAGAGGGAGAAAAGAAGAGAAAGAGAGGAGAGAAAGAGGAGGAAAGAAGGAAAAAGAGGCCAAAAAAGGCCAAAAAGTAGCCCAAAGGGGAGGGAAAAACAGGTGGGAAAGGGAGAAAAGGGGGAGGAAAGAGGGAGAAAAGAGGAGAAACAGAGGAGAGAAAGAGGAGAAAAGAAGAAAGAAGAGGCCAAAAAATGGGGCCAAAAAATGGCCAAAAAAAGGCCAAAAAGTAGCCCAAGACAGGTCAAAAAACACGCCAAAAAATAAGCTAAAAAAGGCCAAAAAATAGCCCAAAAAAACCCCCCAAAAAGCCCAAAGACCCCCTCAGAAAACCCCTGCAAGGCCTCACCCGTGCTGAAGCCGATCAGCGCCTTCTCCCCGCCGTCGAAGCCCGTGATCCACCAGGCGTTGATGGGCCCCAACTTCTTGGCTCTCACCCCTCCTGGAAAGCCCAGAAACGCCCAATTTCACCTCCTGCAGGACCCAAACACCCCGGGAGCACCCCTGGAGTGAGGTGACCCCCCGTCCCTCACCGTCCAGGCAGGGGTTGTCGTCGTAGATGGGTTTGACGGCGCCGCTGAAGTAGAGCTCGACGTTCCTCTCGATGAGCCCCGTGTCGAAGGGGCACAGGTGGCCCTTGCGGTCGTAGACGCTGCCGGTGAAAAAAAACAGAGCAAAGGGGGTTTTTTAGAGGCTAAAAAATCCCCCTCAGACAGACACCACTCGGAGGAATTTGCTGCATTTGGGTTGTAACGACAGAAACACAAAAATATGTGTTATGAGATGAATTAAGAGAGAAAGGCATCAGTCCCGTTTGTCTTTGTGTGCTCTGTCCTGATGAAATACAACAAAAAGGTTATAAATTAGGTAGGATGGATGTTTGGGGAGGGGGTGAAGGGCTGAGTAAAGAGGTTTTTAGTGAGACTTTCACACTAAAAAGTCAGGAAAAGTTGAAAAGTTCACGAAGATGAGGAGCAAGAAAACGACCCCCACGAGGCCGAAGAAGCCGGAACGACCCCCAGGAATTCACCCAAAAGGATGATTCTGCCTGAACCCTGCATAATGTGAATATTGTAACTAGATGGTGCAATTGCAATAAATATCCATGTAAAATATTGTAATCCCTCACCAAAACTGTATAAATTTTCACTGGCTCCACCTGAACCCTGCATGATGTGAACGTCATAACTAGATGGTGTAATTGTAATAATTGTAATAAATATCCATGTAAAATATTGTAATCCCTCACCAAAATTGTGTAAATTACCCGGTTTTTCACTGAGAACTTCGGAGCTGGTTTGCCCAACACAAAATAAACACCTTTGCTGCTTAAAGACTTAAAAACTGTCCCTGAGCAGTCACTTTATGGTGTTTTTGGCCCCAGCAGGGCCGGGTCTCACCTGAAGGAGGTGACCTTGTGCTGGGGCAGGTCCTCGTAGCTCTCGAACCCGTCCTCGTTGGCGTCGAAGAGCGACAGGCGCTCGTCCGTCAGCATCTCCGGCTCCTCCAGCTGCAGGGGGGGAAAAACAGGGATTGGGATCCCACGGGGGATTTGGGAATGGGGGCTTGGATTCCCGTTTTTTTTGTTTGTTTGTTTGTTTTATTTAGTTTGGGTGTTGATACGAAATGATGGGAAATTATCATTTATAGGGTTTATGGTTTCTGGGGTTTTTGGGTGCTCGGTGGTGCTAAAGCTGTTTATGTGTTGAAATATATGTTATATATGATATATTAAATACTTTCTATATTTTTATATACATTATATGTTCTATTTTATATATCATATATGTTATACATGATATATTAAATACTTCCTATATTTTTTACATTGAAATATATATTATATATAATATACTAAATACTTTCTATATTTAAGCATATATTATATATTTTACTTTATGCATTATGCATTAATCTAATTATATCTAACCATATGTAATAGTAACATTATATCTAGGAATATAATTATACAATTATACATATAATATGCAATTATATTACATATTACATATGCATTGTATACTTACATGAAATCTTATGAAATTATATTTATGATTTATATGGGTTTTGGTTTCTGGGGTTTTTGGCTGCTCAGTGGTAGCAAAGCTATTTATATATTGAAACACATATGTGATATATTAAATACTTTACATATATCTACCTACATATTATATAATTTATTCATTATATATTTATGCATTCCCACCCCCTCCAGCCCTTCCCAACCCCAGGAACGGGAGGATTTGGGGCCCTTACGGCGTCGTCAGGATCCCCTTGGAAGAACTTGAGGTCGGGGTCGTCGAGGTACTGCCGGCACTCCACGCACTTGGGAGGGGTGGTCTGGGGGACAGGGACCAGTTATTCCAGGAATTATCCCGGCTTTTAGCAGAATCTCCCTGTTTTTACACCGGAAACGGCCCCGGCTGCTCCCCCCGCCCCAATCCTGGGAAGCTCCACGAGCTGGGAATGGCTTTGTTTTCCCCCATATCCACCCCTGGGAAGAGAGAACTCATCCCAAAGCTTTGGAAAATGGAAATTTAGGAGTTTTAAGGGATGGGAAAAACCCCAAAAAAATGCTGGAATGGAGGACAAGGGCACAGGACAATCCTTCCACCCTTGGGAACAATGAACTCATCCCAAAGCTTTGGAACATGGAAATTTAGGAGTTTTAAGGGATGAAAAAAAAACCCCAAAAAAGGCTGGAACAGAGGAAAAGGGCACAGGACAATCCTTCCACCCTTGGGAAGAGTGGACTCATCCCAAAGCTTTGGAAAATGGAAATTTAGGAGTTTTAAGAGATGGAAAAAAAAAACCAAAAAAGGCTGGAATGAAGGAAAAGGGACTCACTTTAGCAGGAGTTGCTATTTTAACCTGAGGGATTTCGTCCTTGAGCTCCGACCTGGGTGGGAAAAATGGGATGAAGGTGGAAAAGCTCAACGTCCCCAGCGAGGCTCCAGCCTGGAACGTTCTCCGTCCCCTCTTACCCGTCTTTGGCTTCCATTTTAATCCTTTTCTCATCTTGTTCCTTCAGGAAGAGACAAAAAAAATGCGGGAGGAGGGAGGGGGGGATGGAGAGCACGGAAAAATCCCGGGAAAACTCAATCCCAGCCGGAAAAACTCGATCCCAGCTGGAAAAAATCATCCAGGGGAGAGAGCCCGGGATGCCCAGACCCACCTTGTCCTCCAGCTCCTCTTCCTCCTTCTCCACGTTCATCATCATCACCTCCGGCTTGGCCTCCCCGTTCACCTCCTCTGACTTCCTCTTGTTGGATCTGCGGGATGGGAACCCCACGGATCAATCCCGGGGCCGGGGGGGCACCGGGGGATCTCCAAACCGAGGTTTGGGAGGAGGAGGAGGAGGAGGAGGAGCCCCCGACTGACCCTTTGGAGAAGAGGCTGAGCAGGGTGGGCTGGCGGCCGGAGCTCCGAGTGACCCGGGAACTGGCCGGAGACTCTGCCGGGAACAGGGGGAGAGGAGGGACAGGGAGGATGGAGAGGGAGGATGGAGAGGGGCCCTTCCCATCCCTGCACCCGACATCCCACAGGGAGACCATTCCTGAGGGGATCCCTGCTCTCAATCCCACCGGGAATCGTTGGGCATCAGGGCCAGGAGACCCCAAAACCCTTCCCAAGTGGATCCCTGCTCTCCATCCCACCAGGAATTGCTGGGCATCTGGGGCCAGGAGATCCCAAAACCCTTCCCAAAAGGGATTCCCACTCTCCATCCCGCCGGGAATCGTTGGGCACCAAGGCAAGAAGACCCCAAAACCCTTCCCAAAGGGGATTCCCACTCTCCATCCCACCAGGAATCGTTGGGCACCAGAGTCAGGAGACCCCAAAACCCTTCCTGATGGGGAACCCCCACTCTCCATCCCGCCAGGAATCGTTGGGCACCAGAGCCAGGAGACCCCAAAACCCTTCCCAAAGAGGATCCCTGCTCTCAATCCCACCAGGAATTGCTGCACTCCAAGGCCAGGAGACCCCAAACCCCTTCCTGATGGGACCCCCACTCTCCACCCCGCCAGGAACCGCCGCTCCACGGCCACAAAACCCCGGGAAAAGCTCCTGGAAAACCCCATCCCACCCCCCCCATCCCCTCACTTTTGCTCTCCCCGTTGGATCGGCTCCTCCGCGCCTTCCTCGCCCTGGGGCCGGGGCCCAGCAGGGACGGGGAGGAGGAGGAGGAGGAGGCCACCCCTTCCTCCATGTCCCCGGCCCCGTCCTGCTCCTCCTCGCTGCCGGAGCCGCCGTGGCGGGTCCCGAGGGCCCCGTTGGTGGCCCCGTTGGCCCCGTTGGTGGCCGAGAGCTCCTGGTGCAGCAGCGCCTTCACCTGCGCCAGGTAACGCTCCTGGAGGGGAGGGGGAAAGCTGGGATGACCCCCCCGGATCTGGGAAAGCCGGGATGACCCCCCTGGATCCAGGAAAGCCGGGATGACCCCCCTGGATCCAGGAAAGCCGAGATGACCCCCCTGGATCTGGGAAAGCCGGGATGACCCCCCTGGATCTGGGAAAGCTGGGATGACCCCCCTGGATCCAGGAAAGCCGGGTGGGGGTCCGGGGGTCCCGGGATCCCACCTCGGACAGCTCGTGGCAGCGCAGTTTGTTCTCCAGCTCCCCCAGCCGCCGCTGAGCCTCCGCCTGCAGGAAACCCTGGATCAGGCTCAGCCGCTCCCGGACGCTCTCCTGGGGGACACGGAGGGGATGGAGGGGACTCTGGGGGTGGGGGGGGGACACTGGGGGGACACTGCGGGGACACTGGGGGGCATGGGGACACCTCCCAGGGGGATGGAGGGGATGGTGGGGACAGGGACACAGGGGACACCGGGGGGACACTGTGGGGGCATGGGGACACCTCCCAGGGGGATGGAGGGGACACAGGGACACAGGGACATATGGGACATTGTGGGGACACTGTGGGGCACGGGGTCGCCTCCCATGGGGATGGAGGGGGTACAGGGGATACTGTGGGGATGCTGTGGGTCACAGGGACACTTCCCATGGGGATGGAGGAATCAGAGGGGACACTGTGGGGCACGGAGGGGGCAGGGGGTCAGAGAGGACAATGTGGGGACACTGTGGGGCACGGGGACACTTCCCCAGGGGGATGGAGGGAATGGTGGGGAGAGGGACACAGGGAACAGGACAATGGGGTTGGGAACAAGATGTAGGGGGGTGTCCCTGAGCCAGCCCCCCCCACCACTGGACCCCCAATCCCACAGGGAAGGAGAGGCTGGGAAGCCCCAGGAAGCCCATTCCCAGCACGGGGGTCACGTGTCCCTGCGGAGCATCCCGGGATTTTACGGACACGATCCGGGGGGAGTGACACCCCCCTCCCCCTTTCCCAAAATTGGGCCCAAATCCCGGAGATCCCGGGACTCACCTTCTCACTCAGGGTCTCCTCATCCCTCTCCAGGTCCTGCAGCCTGTGGGGACACCGGGGGGGGGTCACCACGAGGATTTGGGGATGGGGACAAAGGGACCCCCCCAAAATGGCCGGGATGGCTCCGGAGGAGACACACGGACACGGAGCAGAGAGGGAGGGGGATTATTCCTAAGGGGAATCTGGGAAGGGGGGTCAGTGCCCAAGGGACCCCTGAGAGGATGTGGGGGGGGGGGGGTGGGGGCCACCCCCTGTGTCCAGTCCAGGAAAAGCCACCGGAGAAGCCCCTGGGAAGCCACGTGTGCCCTTCCCAGGGGACAAAGCGGCCGTGGAGGGTGGGGGGAAACCCCCCCTTCCCGACCCCATCCCGGATCCAGGAGGGTCTGTCCCATTTCCAACCCCATCCTGGCCCCTGGGGGTCCCATTCCTGCCCCATCCCAGCTCCAGGGATCCCATCCTTGACTCCATCCCAGCTCTGGGGGTCCCATTCCCAACTCCATCCCAGTTCTGGGGAGTCTGTCCCGTCCCTGACCCCCTCCTGGCTCTGGGGTTCCCGTCCCTGATCCCATCCCGGCTCCAGGGGGGGTTCAGCACAATCCCAGATCCCGGGAGCTGCCCCAGGGCCCGGGAAGGGACCCCTCTGGTGCCACTGTCACCCCCTGGGAACGTTCCCGTCCGCCAGGAATGTGGGATGGGACCCCCGGGAACGCTCCCATTACCGGGATGGGGGTCGGGACCCCGCAGGTGCCGCCGCCATCCCCCGGGAACGCCGCTGGAACCCCCCGGGAGCACTTCC